GCATATAAGTGTTTTTTCAGATGAGCAAGAATCTATAGTTCCAAATTGCAAAATGCAGTCCATTTGTTTTTGGACACGCGTTGATCCCTCGCGGGGCGAAAATATTGGATGCTTGTTAACGTCTCGCCTCGGGAACGGTTGTAAATATTAGCTTGTGTCATACTATCAAAATACTTCATCAAATTGTCGAGGACAAGTGCTGTGATTGGTCCGAGTCATCGAATAAGCCAATCACAACACCTGACCTTGATATTTTGATGGTTGGAAGGAAACCGCGACTCGTGCAAAAATGCGTGAACTATTACCGATTGAATGAGGCATTCAAGGTGATAATAATGCGTAACTAAGTATTTTCTTTGAAATGCAATCATCTGTATATTATATTTTTAAAGTATAAATAAAAAACGTGTTTTTCTTGGTGATTAAAACAATAAATATTACGAAAAAAACTTACACTAAGATTTTAAATTTAAATACGCGTTACAACTCTTTCGGAAAAATGTAGCGAATTCCACACTACATGCATGTTTACTTTGATACAATATAAAAGTTTGTGCTGCAAATGCTTGTCCTGGATGTAAAATAAAGTTGCACTGCGAAGTTAGCTCCGAATCAAGTTTTGCCGCTACCTTGCCTAAGGATCAGCTATGTACTTACGAAATGTGCCTACTCAATTTTCACTTCCTTGTTGGTTTAAAAAATTAAGGTAGCAATTATCAAACTAGGCCGAGAAGAATCGAACTTCATTACTTTTTTCATCTCTTAAACGAAAGAACAGAGCCTTGTTTCAACGCGGCAAAACTTTAAATTGTATGTTGAAGTTTTATTTGGACATTTCTAACTGAAAATTTTGATTGTTTTCTTCTGATCTTTCTATAAATTAGGAAAATCTTACGGAATTTTTTTAGGAATTGTATTGATAATTCTCAAAAAAACTTAACGGCCAGAAAATCTAGAATTGAGTTTTTTGAAAGTTCGGCACTGCTTAGAGATAAATGAATTTTGTCACTAAGTGACAGGCAAAAAAACGGAATTTTTTGGCTCAAAAAATATCTCAAAAGCTCAGATATTTTCAAAGACACATTTGATCACTTTGAAGAGATTTCCGGTTGATCGTCGTATGGAGAGAAGCTCCTTTGGAGTCACTAGATATACTAACACCACTCTAAACAACTAGGGGCTTGGAGGACAAGGCGCATGAGTGCAATTTTTGCTATATTTCAAGAAATACGTGTTTGAAGTTTCGAAATTACATGGATCCTCATGGCGGACAGAATGTTCAAACTTTATGAGTTAAATGTATTAGTCTAAATGTAAACCTATGGAAGAAGATCGATAAACAGGGTGTTCCCGACAGAGACCTTAATAATAAATTCTCTACAATAGTTAAAATGGGGAAATATCGATAATCGTTCATTCACGCTACGTCACTGCTTAAAAAGTTACTTCATCGACGGTCCAATGTAAAGCGACTCTAATGTACTCCATGTCAAAGCTATTACAATTAGACATTTCAACTTGGTTAGTCACTTTTACTATTTTGTTTATCTCTCAACTGTTTTTCTATGATACCTTTTTCTTAATTTAAATTTTATCTACTCTCTCTCTCTCTCCCGCCCTCCCCCCTCTCCCTCTCTTACCCCCGAATTTTATCCCTGTTTTTTTTTTCGATTTTATCCCTCTCTTCTTAACCCCATATCCATTCTTCATTTTCTCTCTTTTATTCTCGTGGTTCTTTCAAAATTGTCCCACAATTTATATATAAATACCAATATATGAAAAAATACCTATACGAATATTATATGTAAATACCTATGTGTAAATGTAAAGAGACTTAAACAGTCTAGGCGTATATTTGCATCGTACATTAATACACATATGTGTCAATAGTATATTAAAATAATTACTACTTTTGAAATGACAGCAGTAGCCTATTCTATTTATGGTGGCAAGCTATGTGTGTCTATTGAAATTACTCCTAACTTAGGGTTACTTCTGTAGTTTAGATGCTTTGAAATACAAACCGTCAGACTACAAGAATATGCGTGATGTACGGGGCCAAAATAAGACTTTTTCCCTCCATGAAATTCATTCCACAATTTTTCCAAGGGGGCGACAGATCTCCAAAGTCTTAGAAATTATATCGTTTTTCCTTCAATCCCGGCGACGGTAATGCACCGACAGTCATAAAAATTGATATGCACCATTAAATGGGGGGGGGGGAGGGGCTTTTGCCCTCTTTCAAAACGGAGGGTATGGATTCGATCGACACGAATCGATTGGATAATGAAGACGCGAATCGATCGACGTGAACCGATCGACACCGATTCGATCGACAAATTATCAATAAACCGATGTCCATTCAATCGACATGACTCGATCAAAAAATGAAAATGTGAACCGATCGACACCGATTCGATCGATAAAATTTGATTACCGGTTTGTCAAACGATTCACGGGTTTGTCGAACGACTCACTGGGTTTTCTATTGATTCACGGATCTTTCATAATTAGTTTGTCGATCGAATCCATGTCGACCGATCCACGTTTTCATTTTTCAATCAATTCATGTCGATCAAATACATACATACCCTCGTTTAAAACCACTCTCGGAGAAAATGTTATTGAAAGAAAAGTCTCGCCTCGACTTAAAGAAAATGTTCCCGCAGTCTGGCGGTTTATCCAGGGATCCCCATGTTTAGATCGCATTCGATACATTAAACAGGTGAGATTGTATCGATATCGATTGGTTCTACACGTAAACGTAGCCTCGACAGTAAATTTAGAAATATGAGGGAACGGTCTTTTGTAGTAGATTCTTTCCCTGGTAAAAATTGGCAGTAGAATCTGTGTTCCAAAATACCATAGACGTCCGGCCAGCTGTAAGATTTCAAATAGCTTCTATAATCGGCTACACACTTTCTTATAGCCTTTTATAGCCGAATTAAGCAACTCAAAGTCAGGCGATAAAGTGCATGCTAAACGTCACTAATTATGGATGCGAGAACTTGGTGAGTTTTTGGACCACTGCTCTCTTTTTGGGCCGTAGTATCTTGATTTATTTTGCGAGGAAAGCTCCGCACTTTTGTTGGATGCCTGCCATTCCTAATATATTAGAGCGCCTTCATTTTCGTATGATATTGTGCAATATATCTGGTGTGAAATAGTTGCTTCAAGCGCCGTGGCGTGGCACGCAGCGGCGCGGCAGGCGGGCAGCCAGCGCGAAACGCGCATTGGCGCCTACAAACCTAACAGGGATACTTTACGCGTTGCGCAATGCGTGAAGTATCCCTGTTAGGTTTGTAGGCGCCAGCCTTCTTTAGCCGGCTATAAGAATTCCTATGGTGTTTTGAAACGCAGCTCTTATCGCCAATTTTTACCAGGGTTATTCTTTCGAGTACCACATGGCAATGGAAAGTGAAATTGTTGGGAAATTTCTCATTTCCAGCTTTTCCAACTTCTGTCCAAAAATGTTTGTTTGATATTATATTATATTGTTTTGAACCAAACGATCCATCAAACCCACAGGTTAGTTCAGATCTCTAGCATCGCCTAAATCGCATGAGTTGTTTTGTGGAGCGTCATTTGTGGGAAAATCCATGGGCGTTTAAAACAAGGAACCACTGCCGTCAAAACTGCATGCTTTTACAAAAAATCACAGGATATACCCATCGAAACGTATAGATTTCATGTAAAAAACGTTGATCCGTCCGATGCCCGATTAATTTCCACGAATTGTTGAAATATAATCCTATAATTCTGACAGGAGCTCTGAATTTCAAGCTAAAAATCTGAACGGAGGTCCCAAACGTTTCCGAATCACTTTCATTTGATTTTTTGGGGTCGATTTTCCGTGAAGCCCTCAAATCTCAATGACTCGTGAAGAAAAAGATAGGTTCAAGGAAGAATTGGTTCCTAGTTTCGAATTCCCGACAGGGCTCCATGGGAGGAGATTCATCGCTTCTGTCTGTTGTGAAATTACACCAAGCAACCTGCATTACCTATAGAAATTAAATCTGTTCCGTAATCTCCTATGAACTTCATAATTCCAAATTAAATAACTTTTTAAAGGTAAGAACGAAATTTTTTCTGAGCATCCATTGTTATTTTTAAATTGTTGTCACCTTCGGTAGTAACTTGGGTCAACTTAAGTTGCCTACTTGTAGCTCCGAGCTCCCAAAATTACTCACGCTTTCTTTGCATAGGTTTCGCTGAGTGTTAGCGATCTGGACTAATCTGTGATCGGAGCACTATCGACATAAAATAAATAGACTACGTCAACAGAAACGAAAGCCAACGCCATTTATATGTCATCGAAGCGAAACTGAGTCAATAAGTAAGCGGCATGTCAACGTTCTGGGGAGGTCGAATGATAACGTATACAGACGTTTTCAGGAATTAAAAGACATTTTTTTACACTTATTTACTGCTAATCCGTAGAAGTACTGTAAAGTTCCTTCAACTTGTATGTTTCTTTCCAATTTCATAATGGAGATGATGCATGTGTGAGGAATTTGCGATTTGACTATTGTTTCTTATGTAAAAGTCCGCGAGAAACACGATGGTCCCACTGGTTTTCTCTGAAAACAACTCCCAAGCTCAAAAAAAAGCTCTCAAGTTGAGGCCAAAATGGAGGGGATATCCCCCCTGAGAGTCCACCTCTACATCAAGACAAACTCTCCATGCAAAGATAGGGAGCAAACACATTAGCAGGATTGCCGTGTTTTCAGTTTTAGAGTCCCAAAATAAAGCGGCAAAATAAAACCAGTGGCACCATCGTGTTTCTCGCGAACTTTTACACAAGAATCAATGGTCAAATCGCAAATTCCTCACGCATGCAACATCTCCAATGTAGGTTAACCTCAAATCAGGTTTCAATAAGTACGAAGATGGACCGACCCTGGCAAGAAAAATGTTAACATTGGTTCTTACAGTGCTCTCGCTTCTGTTGACGTAGTCTATTTATTCTATGCTACCGAATACGATCCACTAGAAGAAAATGAGTTAACTGGAGCCGCTAAGACGAGGGTACTGATACTGAGACGAAGGAGTGGGGCTATTTCCAAATGAGGCACGGGAGAAACTGCCCCAGAGATTACTCAGTTTCAACCCTCCAAAGGGCCTTAATCCACTCGCTCCACTCCGGGTGGGCCTCCCTGAATTTGCGCCGACCTGTTGGCCTGCCTGATTGCCTGTCGGGTAAGTTCCAGTAGTAGTTCCAGTTGCGGGCACGCCGCTGTCACCGCCGCCGGAAGACACACCGCCCCCGCGTCCGCCACGGGACCTCCTCTCTACAGCTTGAACTTTTTTAACACCGGTGTCATTCGCATACCTAGTGTTGGGGGCCCAAGGAGTACCTAAAAGAGAATAAAGGGGGGGGGGGTTGAGTAAGTCTCAAATTCAACAGCCCAAGATTATAATACAGGGTTATTCAAAAGTTACGCACCACCGGCCATGAGGAGGGTGGCTATTTGACATTTGGACGTATTTCTACCAAACAGACCTATGTGCAAGTGAGAAATATGGGGTGTACTCGTTAGTTCTCTTTGCGTAAGAGTGAATGGGAATAATTGTGCGCCAGTGACGTCAGCGGCAACGAACGAGCGCCGGCACAACGGGGAGGTCGTTAGAGGGAGTCTTTAACTCATGAGCCCTGTCCACAACACTCTCTTGCCATGCCCGCGGCTCATGAGTTCCGCATTCAGTTGCCACATAGGTCTCTTTGATAGAATGTAATATCCCGCTTTTCCAATTCTTCAAAAGGAATCACGCCCACTTTTACATTGCTTCTTATGCAGCTTCGACGAGCACACCCCATATTTCTCGCCTCCACATAGGTCTGTTCGATAGAAGTGCGTCCATTTTTGAGTCGCACCCCGCCCCCCTTCCCCCTGAGGCGGTCAAAAACTGGAAAGTACCTAAAAAAGTTGCCATCTCAATTTGAGGAAAACCGTCGCAAACCGCAAATTGATATCTTAATTAGAACTAAAGTTATAGCCAGTGGTGCGTGACTTTTGAATAACCCTGTACGAAACATAATTTCCACGATCAAAAAAGAACAGCTCAGTCGCGCTAAAGAAGAACGCCGTGTGAAGCTCCATCAGTTGCCAAATTTCCTTCGATCAAATGCGAATTTTTAAAAAAACACTCGCGGATATTTCCCGTTCAAATTTTCAGAGAATTTTCTTCGTAATTATGTCATCGTCTGAAAATTTCAAGGGAAAATACGCATAGTTCCCTTCCAAAATAAACATTTCGTTGGAAGAAATCTGGCAACTCTCGAATGTTCATACGGCGTTTTTCCTTAGCACGGCAGAGTAACAAGCAGAGAGGGCAAAGCGTGTAACCAGAAATCAGTGGGAGATTTTAAACATCTGGATCGTATATAGCAAAAGGGAACCAGCGTGATTACAGTGTTTTCAAAATCTTGCATCTTCTTTATTCCTTTTAAAAATACTAAATATATGCACAGTATTAATATTGACGACAATATTTCCCTTTAAAATTAACGGTTTTTTGGTGTGATGCAAAGACTATTTGCTGTTTTGGGAGGTTTTTCAGATGATTATAAAAAAAGCAGCATTTTAACAACATTGTTTCGCGCTGGTTCCTTTTTGCTAATTAAATGCAATCCATCACACCTCCACCACTACGGAGGGCCTGTAAGGGAGAGAGAGGCGTAGTGCTCTTGGGTTTTTAAAAAAGAGCCTACAAGGTAGGTCTTAGGGATTTTTAATAATCCGGTTATTTTTTGGTTTTTTTTTCTTGTTATGTATAAATGTAGACTAAAATTTCTGATTGTATCATAGCCCTATGGCTATAAAGCATGGCACAATTTTTTTATCTTCGGTCGCAATAGTTGGTTTTAAAATTTGCAGAATAAAATATAATTTATTTGTTTATTTTATTTTATACCTGATCTTGTGTCGCCTCCGGTTCTCTGGGGACTGCTGGTGAGATACTCCTTGCCTATTTTGGGAAGAGAGAGTTTTCCCGTGTTTGGTTCTCCGGGCCACTTGTAGAGTGCCTTATCCTTCCTCGCAAGTCGGAATGATTGGTTTATTTTGGTGTAAGAGTTGATGGGGTGGAACACTGGGCATGAGCTACTCACCGTATAGGTGTCTGCCATTTGTCCCCTAGCCAAGTATTCAAAGTAGTGGTTGGCATTGCAAGTCTGACCTGGACAGAAAAATAGGGAATTTTTAACGGAATTTTTTGAGAAAGGGATCAGAAAATCCTAATCAGGCCGGAAAATGGGTCAATGGAGAATTTGCATGCATATTTTTTATTGCTTCATCTGAAAATGCTTAAAAAGCTGATTCTACAGTATTTTTTATAATTTTTCCTGAAATGGGAAATAGTATAAAAATAGATTTGGAAGTGAGGAAAATGCACCGCCTAGTGACGTCATCTGGCATCCCCATTTAAACACATGTATTTTAGCAGATTACATCATTTTGTCATAACTTCTCAAAATAATTGGACTGCATTTTGCAATTGGGGACTATAAATTCTGGCTCATCTGAAAAAAACACTTAAGAGCATAGGGAAACTAATGGCACATACGTTGTTTTTAAACCGGGCCAGAATTTATAGTTCCACATTGCAAGATGCAGTCCAATTGTTCAATTCATAAACCAAGGGAATCCTCGTGTTTAGTTCACGCAGTATAGTTTCCTTTTAATCAAGAAAATTAATCAAATTTCACTCCAAATTCTCTATTGTGTTAGATACGCATGAGATGGAAAATTTCATGAAAAATAAGAATTTGAAATTTCAAGGATGAAATTTTACGTGAAATTTCAAGTAAAAATTACATGCAAATGTACAGAATCATGCTCAAATGGTATGAGCTTACCTTTACATGATAGCAATAAATAATAAGATCTGTTCAAACGCCAACTTTTTATACATCTAACATCAACGGCGGAGAACCCGCTCATCGAGAAACACGATGTATTATGACGTCATCCATCTCGAGATTGCTCACCATGATTTCTTCTACCTTCATGTCATTGATTGTTGATGAGTGCATCAATAATTGCGTGACGAAAAACACGGATGATATTGATGTGGAAGAAACCACGATATGCACTACCGCGGTAGATGATGTCATAAGCCGTGCATTTCGATGAGCTCTATTTCCGCAGTCGGACTGGCCATAAGGCTAATCTGCCATTGGCAGGTACCCCATTGCCATTGCCCCCCCCCCCTTTTGACGCGTTGAGGACGCGCCTCTCTGACAGATGTAGCGAAATAAGATGAGAGAAAAATTATGACCGAGAAAAAATAGGGAAAATTCATAAATAAACGGGAGAAGAGAAAGTAAGAGTAAAGAAAGGTCCTCGTGAGCATGATAGTGGTGAATGGAGGTCCTAGAACTATAAACCGGGAATGAGTCCCTAGAGGCGCCTGGGCCTACAAAAATGTTAGACAATTGATGTTTTGGTTATTTTTATTTGCTTAATTCAGATTTTGTATCCGTAGCTCAATATTTTGATGAGGAGAATGTGAAAAATTGGGACACGCTGGTTTAATCAAGCTGTGATGGATGACAATTATTTTACTCACTAGCAGACATTCGACTAAATGAAGTGAAAACTTACGCTATTACGCTTTTAGCTTTCGCTATTCTGCGAAAAATGTGTCACTCTCCGTCGTAAAATTAGCTTTGAGGCATTGAAAATTTGTCTCGATTCTAGTTTTCGAAAAGGGAATGCTGGGCATCATTAAGTTAGAAAATCAAAAGAGCTCTTGAACTTTTGTCAAGTGTCAAAATACCTATACATAAAATCTTTAACATCGGTGAAAAATTCTTTGCTTTGAAATGTTCTCCTGTTCTCTTCAATTTTTACATGAACGCCCCTTTCATCTTGGGAGACCTCTAACATTTTTTCTCTTTTCAAAATGATGATTGATTAGGGCACATCCTATCTTCGGCTTTGTTGCTCACGTAGCCCTTGAAGCACCACTACAAATGAAACAAACGAAACTAACATAATATGGAAACAGGGCAAATGGAAAGACGCGCGTTGACGACGGCGCAAAGATACAACTATTCGTGCTTGATGGATGTCCGTGCTGCGTCTGCAAAATTGAAGGCGCGATGGCGCAAGTTGTGAATTCGCGTTATTCGACAGCTCCGCTTTATGCTATCAGTTAGGTGTAGTGAGAAAAGTTAAAAAACGAGGCTCGATTATTACGGCTCTCCTACTTACGGCTGTGTTACTCATACAGTCTTTAAAGCACCGCTACAAATATAAATAAGGCGAACTGAAACGAGGACAGTATAGAAATGGAGCAAAGTAAAGGAAGCGCGATGATGACGGCGCAGAGATACAACTATTCGTACATGATGGATGTTCGCGTTGTATCTGCAAAATTGAAGGCGCGATGGCGCTGGGTGTGAACTCGCAATGCTCCGTTCTATGCTGCCAATGAGATGCCGCACAGTGGATTACTAGGGGACGAGTGTCAAAAATCGATATCTCCGGTAAAAATTGTTGAAATTCCATGAAAATTTGGTGAGTTGCTCTTCTTGGTACGTAGTATCTTGCGACAAACAGAAGTTTTTGAGAAGAAGCTTTTGAGAGGGGTTTTGGGCCCCGTTTTGGGGGGAAATCGGATGTAACCCTTTCAGCTGGATAACTCCCCGAAAAAAATAGGATATCAAGCTCAAGTTTGCACCGAAAAAAATTTAACAAGTACTTATTTTCAAAGCACATCAATTTACCGAGAGAGAAAATAGTTCAACGTTGCTGTGTTGCCATGTTTCGTTATTTTTCATAACGGGGTTTTAAACCTTAAAGAACATAAAATATATTTTTTTTTTTTTAAATGAAAGCTAATTTAAATTTTCTAATTTTATTTCTCATTACTTCTACGTTTTACTTTCTGGCAGCTTCATTCCTACTGGTAAGCACTATTTATTTTTGGTTTTTCCAATTTTTAAATCCTTTTTTTTTTTTTTTTGTGGCGAATATTGCATTTTGAAATACTGCTCATTTTTAACCCTTTTTTCCACTTTCATGCGGAGTGCCAAAAAAAAGCACCGTGAAACACCGAACTTTTGTGCACGTGGATTTATACAGTGGTATGTGTACTTTCAGAAAATCAACGGTTCATCTGCCCTATTTTGCCCGTTCGAACGGAAGTCACGATTTTCTAGGAAGATTTGCCATCTCTCCGGTGTTTTTGGGCTTTCATTTCACTTTGATTCAGGGTTCACAAATTCACCTCCAATTTTCAAGACATTGTGCACACTAAAAATGATGAAAAGAAATGGTGAAATTCATTTTTAAGTATCACGTGATGCCAGCTCGCTCTAAAAAATAGTACATTTCTTAAGGCCAGCGTGAATGAAGGCTATTTCAATTGTAATCTTCCGTCGCATTTCTAAGGCGCAATGATACAACTATTTGAACTCTCCGGAATGCGTGAGTATCACGCCGTGTTTGAAGGCGTTTTCAAAACAGTCAAGTTCCGATACTCGGATTATCTTTTTGCATAGTTCATATTCTTTTGTTGTATTCCGTAACACTTGTTTATATATAATCCTTCTATAAAAATTACCAATTTGCTAAAGACAATTCTAGCTGAAGCGCACTAAAGCTATGCATTCATGGCCGCAAAAATGTTAACGGAAATCGAAAAGGCCAGCCTGTATGTAGGCTATTTCAATTGTAATCTTCCGTCGCATTTCTAAGGCGCAATGATACAACTATTTGAACTCTCCGGAATGCGTGAGGTATCACGCCGCATTTGAAGGCGTTTTCAAAACAGCCAAGTTCCGATACCCGGATTATCACTTAAGCTATGCGTGTATGTTAAAGAGCTGAGAACAAGGCTGTGCTGTAGGTGGGATTCCAGGGCCCCGTGAATTCTACTGCTGATTGATTAATTCATTATCTCTTCAATAACACCTTCGTTTTTTAGCTTCATCTAATTTTATTTGAATTGAATTATTATTTCATTAATTTATTTTTTTATTCTAGGACTAATTTTAATTAACACACTTTGTTTGAACTTGTAAATACAATGTATGTTATAATATTGATATTACATGCACTACACACTCCGAACGGGCAAAATAGGGCAGATGAACCGTTGATTTTCTGAAAGTACACATACCACTGAATAAATCCACGTGCACAAAAGTTCGGTGTCTCATGGTGCTTTTTTTTGACACTCCGCATGAAAGTGGAAAAAAGGGTTAAAAATGAGCAGTATTTCAAAACTCAATATTCGCCACAAAAAAAAAAGGATTTAAAAATTGGAAAAACCCAAAATAAATAGTGCTGACCAGTAAGAATGAAGCTGCCAGGAAGGATAGAAGGCACTGAAGCCTCTTGATCAGGATGCTCCTCATTGTTGTCATCTGCAATCGGCTTCTAATCAGGAGCTCAGAACTGGCTGAAAACGACCACCTGTGCGGGCACTAGTTATCGATAAAAATCGATACTATTTCTGACAATAGTGTTGCCAGATATACCACTTAACGTTCACCACATAATTTTTGGAAAATTTCGGCTTTCATGTTTAGGGAGGATTTTTGTCACCATTCAACGCACTGTGGCCGTTCAGATTCGAGAGAAAAAGTTTTAAAAAAAACTGGGCCCGATTACGTATCGACTCAGTCGTTCCTCAATTTTTTCTTCTTTTTCAGTTTAAAGTTTGATTCTTTTTTAATGTATACACATACCTATTTCTACGGCTCTAATGTACCGGTCCCTCGCAACTCGCGTGGCACGTTTTTTAAACAAGTCTCCTGTCAATTTGACCGAGCTTCAGCATCTAAGGATTATTGAAAATATAATTAAAATATGACCGCACCTCGTTGTCCGAAAACTCAGGATTCAAGAGGGGAGCCAAACGAATTCACAATCAGTCATTATGAACTTCCGTAAAATTTAGTTATGTTTAATCGTTAGAAAAATTAGACTCCAATCCCTCGGTCACGTCAAAAACCTGACTTTTCAGAGGGCGATATCTCGGTCAATATTAAACGTAGAAAGTTGCGGTTTGGACGGATCTTATTATTTTTTGTTAATCTACAAGAGTCAAGCATCAAAACACGATTCTGTGAACAGCGCAACTGACCCATTCATCGCGAACGGGTACGCGCACGCGAATGGACCACTAGACAAGGACAAGATACGAATTTCAGTATTCTG